GCCAGTCAAAGCGAGACAGATCCCAGAGGAATGACTGTTCACAAAAACGTTTCAGATCCCTTTTTTTAATTAATCTGGGCTTAGAAGGTGGAAGTTTAATATCTCTGAGAGTCGCTGTCACACAGTGATCACTCAAAATGTTGGCAAATACACCTGTACCAGGGAATTTGTGAGGCATATTTGTTAGAAACAGGTCTAAGATGGAAGATTTTTCGGGACGGTTTTGGTTTTGTCTAGTGGGAGAGTCGATCAGTTGGGTTAGATTGACAATAATTACTAATTATTGTCAAATTTCAAACAACATTATCGTTTATTGCAATAATTTCTGAGACAATTAATCACCCAGCAGAATTTGTTATCGTGACAGGCCTAACCACAGAGATTAATAAACTATCAGCTTCAGCTGTTAGATGGTTAATCTGCTCAGAATTAAACTCCGTTTCCTCAAACTGAGGTTGAGCGATGTACAACAGGTAGGACTGTTCATGACCTTTACACAGAATCCTACTATAAAAGTTTGAAGTGTAACTTTGACATCTTGCTTTACCTGCATAGAAGGCTCTAAGGTCAGTGTGGACACAGTGCTCCAGGAAGTGTCGCAGTGGCTGGATGTGAGACAGGGGGCCGTCCCACTCTGTGAGGAAGTCTTCAACTATGTGATGAATCGCATCAGGTCTCGGTAAAGGCCAGCCCCGGGGGCGCTTCTTCATTTGTTCCTCTGAGAACAAAAAAAAAAGTACATAAACAAAATTTGGCACTACGTTTTATTTTAAAAGTGCAGGATCTTTCAGGCGTCAGCAGCATTTATTCTCACCGGTCGGGAGTGTTTTGTAGTAGTATAAAACAGGGTGGAGAAAGTTGGACTTCCAAGCTTTGGTCCAGTCTGTTTCAGCCCTGCCGGGGCCAAGATTGTCTATCTTCTTCTTCCCGTACTGCATAACGAGCACTATCAGTCCATGGCTGGAAACCTCGTGGCCGGAAAGAGAAGAAAAGTCGGGTAATGCCTGGAGGAGAAACTCCTCAATGTACTCACAACGAGAGCTGAAATACAAGCAGAGGACAGGAGAAAGATAAGAATAGAGAAAATGATGCAAGGATTTGTCTTTGGTGACCCAAATAAATAATGTAAGGACTGTCATCAAGTAACTTTACTCATCAGACGAGCAGTATCGCATAAAATAAGTAAACAAAAGGAGTGGGAAACTGGTGGGATGAATGAAAAACAAACTTTTTTTCTTGTAAACCTTCAGTAGAATAAAGTGATGCAGACATATTTCCTAAAAACAAAAATCTATTAGATAAACCACCATCATTTCACATTAACCAAAAGTTGAGATGGTTCGGGTATAAACCACCTCTAAAAACAAAACAGCATCTGCTCACCCTCGCAGAAGTACAACATCCCCGAGCACCTCAAACATCTGGTATGGTCCAGATGCCTCGCCGACCCGCCTCAGAATCCAGGACAGCAACTGCGTCGTCAAAAGTTTGGTTGATGGCCACAGGTTGCCATGGTAACGACGTTCCAGTACACGATGTATAGCTCGGGCTGAAAGGGACAAACATGCAGCTTTAAAAAAAAAAAAGTATCAAAAATTGAAACAATACTGACATTTTGTTTTAAAACACAATTTTATCTGCATTTAATCTTTACTGACGTATGTGAATATACTCCTGAAGGTTTTTTTTTTTTTTACAAGCATCTCTTTTACTGTTTATAGAAAACCATCCAAACATTTTAACAAAAATGATGAAATCCCCAATCCACACCACTAGGTGGCGATAATGTCCACATTAACGTCACGCTAATACAGACAATGTTGACTAAAGGTTTCCCCGAAATGATTGTAGCTCTGTTATTTTCTTTGATATCATTCACAATTTCATGTCCGTTTATAATCATTTCAGCACTTGATCACAATTTAATGGCTACAGAGTCAGGAAAAAGTGAGGCAGATGAAGAAAACCTGGTAAAAATTACCATTTTGTTTTGGTTTCTAAGATACAAAGTGACAGTAAGCATGCTAAATTTTAGCTAAATACCTGTAAAAACGCCCAAGTTGAAGACTTTTTGGTGTTTGCTAAAGTTTAGCTGCGGCTGCCATCTTGACTTGACCTGACTCTAAAAGTTAATCAGGACTTTTCTAGTTTTTCTAAAACGATCATTTTATTTGTCCAACACATATCCTCATAAACAAGGACAGTTTCTGGAAATGTCTTCATCCACATGAAAACAATCATTTTGATCTATATCTCTGTACTAACCATGCCAGGCCTGTCTGTGGTGCTGTGTTGCCACAACAAAAGTTCACCAAAAATGATAAATCCAAGTGCAAAAGATAAACACAACAGAAGAAGAGGATGTCCTCAGGTCATGTTAGTCTGGAGGTGGGGCTATGACATCATTGTTTTCAAAAGGTGCCGTTTCAGCAGTCTGCATGAAAATATAGAGGTGGCAACTCAAGATTTTATTATCTCTGGACCCAAAAATGAACGTTTTAGCGCTTTTAAAATGCTGAGCTGACACAAAGCTAAAACAACAATGTTTATTAGAATTACAGCGTACACCAGGCCTATTCAACTAAACTGCTCAGGGGGGCACAGCTACTGAAAGCCAGCAGTTATTGTCATTAAGAAAATTTGTTTTGCAGTTTAAAATCTATCCATCCATCCATTTTCTTTACCCGCTTATTCCATTTTGGGTCACGGGGGTCGCTGGTGCCCATGTCCAGCAATCACTGTGCGAGGGGCGGGGTACACCCTGGACGGGTCGCAAGTCCATCACAGGGCCACATAGAGACAAACGAGACAAACAATCATTCACTCTCTCACTCACACCTAGGGACAATTTAGAGTTACCAATCAGCCTAACATACATGTTTTTGGACTGTGGGAGGAAACCGGAGTACCCGGAGAAAACCCACGCATGCACGGAGAGAACATGCAAACTCCACCCAGAAAGGCCCCTGGACCGGGGTTTGAACCAAGGACCTGCTTGCTGAGAGGCAGCAGCTCTACCAGTTGCGCCACCGTGCTGCCAGTTTAAAATCTAGTTTTATTTAAAAAAGAACCCATTGGTGAGTCCAACTGAGCACATCCGTGGGCCTGATTTGGCCCCCGGGCCGCCAGTTGAATAGCCCTGGTGTACACGACCCCTCAGTTTTTCTCCTTGAAAACTATTTGAAAATGGAGACAAG